GGAGGCTCATGGTGGTAGCCAGAGGGGAGCCGTCTCCTATCCCAAGACCACTGTGGTGCAGTGGGCAAAAGCCATCACCCTTGCGTGCGTGTACCCTCATCCCAAACCTGCTTCCAGATGCATGCACATGCATGCACACACTTGTGCACACACATTCCCCTCCTGCGTGCTGTGCTGTGCTGTGCTGTGCTGCGCTGGCGGCTGCAGTGCCAGCAGTGGGCGCAGCGATCCCGCTCCACCTCTCCAATGAGCAGTGAGGACTTTGTTTTTGGTGTTTAATCTGCTGGTGTAGCTCTTGGACCCCTCATGGCAGGGGGGGCTGGTTTTGCTGGGCTTTTTTCTTTCCCCTCCTGGATTCCTCTGGAGGCAGAGAAAGGTACCATGGCAGCTGCACTGCCTTGGCCACAGAGAAGTACAGGGAGGTATGGGTTGGGGACTGGTGCCTGAGAGCAGGACTCCCACTGCCAGCATGCAGGTGGGGGCTGCTTTGCTTTTGGGTAGGAACAGGAGCAGCACAAGTCCTGGTGCAGCCTGGTGCTGGGTGCACCGAACCAAAGGGCCTCACCCAGCTGCTGTGTGGGATGCGGAGACCCCTTCAGAGAGCAGTTTGGCCACACGCAGGGTCATGAGGGGGCTGCAGGGATGTGACCAAGCTCCCAGCCCAGCAGCTCAGTGGCTGGAGACAGTTGCTGAAATGCACAGTTAACCTCCCTGTTGCAATTAATGCACATGGTCTCATGGGTGGCAGTGAGCAGGGCATGTACACACACACATATACACACGCAGATGCACATGTGCAATGGAGGCAGCTGTTGTCTAACTCCCAGGCAAGCTGCCTCCAGCCCACTGTGCCCCCTCCTTGCTGCTGCATTGCATCCTAACCCCTCACCTGCCTCACCTTCTCCTTCCTCCCCAGGCAGGATGCAGGTCCAGAGCCTCCTCCTCCTCCTGGCGCTGATCCTGCTGGCTGCCACCACTGAGGCTGGCAAGAACAAGAAAGGTGAGAGCAGGGCCGGTGGACAGCCCAGGGTGTGTCCCTTTGTCCCTGCAGCCAGCACCCACTCCCCCTTCCCTTACAGAGAAGGTAAAGAAGGACGGCTCCGAGTGTGAGGACTGGCGCTGGGGGCCCTGTGTCCCCAACAGCAAGGATTGCGGCGTTGGCTACCGCGAGGGGACTTGCAAAGAGGAGAGTAAGAAGCTCAAGTGCAAGATCCCCTGCAACTGGAAGAAGAAGTTCGGAGGTGGGTGCATGGCAGCGGGGTGGCTGGAGACCACCCTGGGCTGGGTGGCTGGGGTTGGTTGCTGTGCCAGGTCTTGCTTGGCTCTGACACCTATCTGCTCTCTTCCAGCTGACTGCAAGTACAAATTTGAGAGCTGGGGGGGCTGTAGCCCTCAGACGGGTGTGAAAACTCGCTCCGGTGTCCTGAAGAAAGCCCTGTACAATGCCCAGTGCGAGGAGATTGTCTATGTGACCAAGCCCTGCTCTTCCAAGATTAAGTCAAAGTCCAAAGGTCAGTCCCCGCCACTCCTGTCCCCAGAAGAGTCCTGCTGGGACCCTGGGCTGGGTTACTCTGGGAGTATCTTGACCGCTTGGAGCTGGGCTTTGCTGTTAGTGTGGGGGATGGGATAGGATGCTCTTACCTCTCTGTCAGCACATGTGACAATCCCAAAGACCAGCTCTGGCTAGGTGGGATGCAGGTGCCATCAGGGAGAACCCTGCTCCACCCCGCAAGTCACTGTCAGCTTTGGTGGGACAGGGATTTCCCCCTCTCCTCAGTGGGGCTGGTGCAAAACATGGCTTTGCATGGTGGGGGAAGCTGCCTGCAGGGATGTGGCCCCTGTGCAGCGCCAAGCCAGCTGTGCTGACTATGTTTCTGCCACGGCAGCACCTGGGGGATCAGGGTGCTGCGGGGGATGCACTAACTCTTCTCTCCTGTGCTTCTTGGATGCAGCAGCGAAGGGCAAGGGGAAGGACTAGAGCAGGAAGCCAGCATCCTCATCGGCCCTTCAACACGGTGCCTGCAGGGCTGGAAGCCCAGATGCAGCCGGCCCACACTCCAGTCTTCCTCCACCTCCTCTCCTTCTTCCTTTCCATGACCTTCTCTTTCACTGAGATGCCTTGTTTTAATCACTAGTGTTGTAGAGAGCAAACCCACCCACCCCACAGGAGGTGCTGCTGCCTTTCCTGCTGCCCCACTGCTGCTGCTGGTGCACCCCACTCTCCTCCTCTGGGCTGGTGTTGGTGTTTGCTGGGATGTGCCTGGAGAGCTGGGATAGGAACATGCATTTTTCCACCCTCTGGCACAAATTAATGGTTTTATGATGCGTTGGTGCATCCTTTGGCAATCCTGGGAGCCTCCCCACTCCACCACGTACTGGTACCTACTGTTGAATGTTCAAGTAGCCCTGTCACTCATGTGCCCCTTACTCACGTGAGAACTGCTCTCTGCTTGGGGGGCTTCTCCCAGCATCCCTTTGGTCAGGGCAGGACTTTCCAGCAGCAGCCAGGGAAAACAAAGACCCCATCCCCAGGAACCACCACATCCCCTCTCCTCCATCACTTCTAACCATGTGTGTTGGTGCTGAGGCTGCAGCTCCTCTGCCTTCAACCCACTGACACTGGTGCTGGGTGGTAGCTCTCACTTATTCTGGAAAATGGGTTTTGTTTTCTTTTCCAATAAAAATCTTTTAAAAAAAAATAAACTGAACCCACCTGTTGTCCCTACAAGGTGCTGCTTTGCTGGAAACCCCAGAAAACCACAGCTGTGCTGATGCCACCGGGACCAGCGTGAAGCTGCATGTGGCTTGTGGTGGCCTGGGTGCCTTGCACACATGGTCCTGGAGAAGGCTCGTGTCAGCCCTCAGCCTCTTCTTGGCAGCACTTTGGGCTGCCTCCTTTTCTTTTGGAAGGAGGGATGGGGCTGCCACCTGCATGCTGCAAGAAGTGTCACCAGTGGGTGACACTGGGAAGCTGGGGTGACAACTCATTCACTCATGCTATTGCTGTTGGTTTCTGGTCTGAGGTCTTTATTTGTCTCAGGGTGCACTGGGCTGTGGCTGTAACAGTTTAAAAAAAAAAAAAAAAGAAAGTCCACCAGGCATTTTGGGCACCGCTATGTGAATTCTCCTAAAGGCAGTGGTGGGAGGGAGTCCCCACCTGGGCTGGGGCAGCCTTTCTTCAGGTTGCACAGCATTGCCCCGGTGCAGGGATGGGAAGGATGTACAGATACAGAGTTTGTCGGTGCTAGCGTGGCCCTGTCTCATCCTTCAGCTGTGCCTGGCTGTGCCCGCTAAGGCTTGCAGCGACCCAGCTTTGGGAGCAGCTAAGGAGCAGCCCTGGGGTGGCCTGGGCTGGGAGGGGGCTGGAGACACTGACTGAAGCCCGCATGCTGAAGGCTTTGCCACAACACCAACGATAGGCTTATGTCCATTTACAAAGCTTGACAGTCAGCTCCTTTGGCGACCCTGGGGCATCCCCTCTGCATCCCCCTGCGGGGCAGGAGCAGGACTGGGGGCCACCGCTGTCCTCTCCCACCCCTGGAGCTGTGCATCAGGCCTCCCACACCCACCATGGGGAGAGCACGGACGTGCTCATGGACCAGATGAAACACAGGGCACCTCAGCCACGTTGCAGGCCCTCTTTCTGACCCACTCCAAGACCCCCAGCTCCCCGTGCCCCTCCCAAGGAGAGTTTTTTTCACTGTCACTGCTGTGACACTTCTCAGGGGCTGCATCCTCCTGGGGCTGCAGAGAGAAGTCCTGCACCGTACCACTGCTGAGCTTCACAGTTTTAGTTTCCATCGTTGGAGGAGGCGACTGGGTTTCACACTCCTTACCCAGGAGTGAGATGCTTGGGTTTTCTGTCTGTCTGTCCAGCTGATTGCTGGTTGAGGGCAGAAAGGGCACAAAGGGGAGTGTGGAGCCAAAGCCCAGGGAAAAATTCCCACCCCCCCCCAGGTCTTTCTCTGGGTGAGGATATCTGATGGTGTCTCTCAAGGGACAGGAAAGAGCCTGCCACATCTGCTATGGTGCAATTTCGACTGCCTCAGGACAGGCCCTGGCTGGGCCAGCAGGACAACCCATGAGCTGGCAAATGTTTGGCCTCAGTTTATTTTCATTCTTGCGTAATAAGTGGTTTAAAAGCCTATTGAAAGCATCCAGCATTAGGCTGTCTGCACACAGACAAGCTCCGATGCCCTGGAGATGGTCAGCCGTGGGGACAAGAGGCATCCAGTCTTCTGACAAACACTTGATGCCATTCAGCCAGCCTCTCAAGGGCAGGGAGCTGGGGAGGATGCCTCGTGAACACAACTCCTCTTGCCCCACCTTTCCCACTGGCTCCCCAAGCTAGTCCCCAGGGTGACTGGAAGGAACTGCAGCTTAGAGGTGCCTTCGACCTTTGTCAGTGTTGGATGAAGGGCATCATCTGCAATCACTGCACAGTCTGCACTGTTGTGAGCAGGGAGCAAAGGACCACCCCCTGGCAAAGGAGGCAAAGGGAAGGTCTTCTGTGACGTTGCTGAAGCAGTCCCTGAGTGCCAGTTTATCTGGCTGTGCCAATGTTCCTGTACTGGCACATGAGAAGGTGCTTGAAGGTTTTCTTGAAAGTGGCATTGCAGAGGGCGTAGCAGGCTGGGTTGATGGTGCTGTTGACGTAGCAAAGCCAGTAGCCGATGGACCACACTGTTTCGGGTACACAGGTCTCACAGAAGGTGTTAATGAGGACCATCACGTTGTACGGAGTCCATGTGAGTATGAAGGCTAGCAGGATAGCAAATATGGTCCGGGTGACTTTCTTCTCCCGGGCTGCCATCTGGCGCTTCTTCCGTACTTGGCTCCTGGCAATGCTGGCAAACTTCCTGGCAACGTTGACTGGGCGGCTGTTGGCCAGGGAGTTGTGGTCAGAGGCCTTAGCTGGGACAATCTCGATGGCAGTTACGCATTCGGTCCCAGTCTGCTTGGTGACAATCTTAATCTTGGACCACTTGGAAGATGGGTTCGCACGGGGGTGGGATGGGCTCTGTCCTTGCCCCGCTGGCAAGATTTCTGCCGTGGGCTTGTCTTTTGTGGTCTGGGTCATGCTGACCGTGCTGGACTCATTGGAGGTCTCCTTCTCCTCCTGATGGCCGGTGGCCTCTGTCTGTGCTGAGGGCTGGTCATCCACTTTCCCATTCCTCACCTCCTGCTTCACCTCCACAGCCCTCTTGGGGGAGTTGTTGTTGTTCTGTTTGACCAGGGGGGCCTTGAATAAGCTGAGGGACTTGCCTTTTCTCTCTTTCCTGCTTTCAGGCTTGTGCCTCCTCACTCTGCTCCTGCTGGCCAGGGAGATGTGGATGTACAGCACCGTCATGATGACCACGGGCAGGTAGAAAGCAGCGATGGCTGTGCCAAAGGTCACCGCTGGGTTGGAGAGGAACTGGATGTAGCATTCCCTCTCAGGGACTGTCCTTTTGCCCACAATGAACTGCCAGAACAAGATGGCAGGGGCCCAGAGAATGAAGGACAATATCCATGCGGCCGCGATCATTAGCCCCGCCATCTTGGTGGTCCTCCTGGCTGGGTATGTCAGGGGCTTGGTGACACAGAAGTACCGATCAAAGCTGATGATAAGCAAGTTCATGACAGAGGCATTGCTCACCACATAGTCCAGGGCCAGCCACAGGTCACACACCACGGCCCCCAGTGGCCAATAGCCTTTGATGATGTAGACTGAGTAGAGGTTCATGGAGAAGACCCCAATGATGAGGTCTGCACAGGCCAGGCTGAAGAGGAAATAGTTGTTGACAGTCTGGAGCTGGCGGTTCACCTTGATGGACAGCATTACCAGGATGTTCCCCACCACGGTGACGAGGCTGAGCGAGCCGGTGACTGTGGCGATGAAAACCAGCTCCACTGTTTTGTAGTTGGTGGGAGGATGGATGGCCACCTCAGAGTGGTTGCCTGTGGTGAAGTTGTCGTAAGTCAGGTTGGCCATTTTCGCCTGCCAGGGCTGAGCAGAGAGGTTGTGCATGGGGTCTGCAAAGGGAAGAGGGACAGAAAGGGAGACTATCATACCTGCTGGCCCATGCCAGGGGTCATGCAGAGAGGCTGAGGGGCTGCAGGGGGCTGTGGAGCCGAGTGGTGATGCACAGTGCTCACTGCAAGGACAGCACCTTGCAAGGACAGCCAGTGCCCTGCCCCAGGGGCAAGAGCAGGTTTATGGTGTGCCCTAGACATGTCACACTGGCCTCCCCAAAACACCTCCCACCCACCAAAGACAGTGATGACCATAGGCAGGGCACCGGCAAAGACCCTGCCATGGCCTGCACTGCTCACCTGTGTCTCTGGCAGCAAACAGCTCCTTCTGGAAGAAGAAATCTGGGACAGGGAAAACAGTGAGTTAAGCTACAGCTTCAGCCCCAAGGAGTTCATGCAAGTCCCACAACATCTTACTGGGGGGCACCAAACTATCCAACAGAGGTGGTACTGACAAAGCGTGACACTGCTCGGAGGTAAATGCAGAAAACCCAAACAAGACTGAAACCAGGTAATTTGTCTTGGCCTGGTTCACAGCCCAGCCCTGCCAATCCTGTATCACCTGGGCCCCCCAAAACAGATGGGCCGTCATCAGCATCATCCTGGGTGCTGGGGGAGCCCTGACCCCACCAGACCAGCAAGGACAGCCTGCCCAGCAGCTACATCTGGGGCAGGGGTCCTCCATGGGCACTGCTGCCGGTAGTTCAGTGGTGGCTGGTATGGTGGACGAGTGACCATGCCAGCACGCATAGCAGGAGCGCTTGGCACAGCATCTCTGCCTCGGGTAACCATGCTGGCTCCAAATGCCTGGGACTCCTGAAGCTGATTTTGCTAAATGTATTTTGCTAAATGCCATTAACACACTTCTCTCTAAAACAGGGTTGGGCAGCTTTGGGATCAGTTCATATTTTTAAAGTCTTTTAAAAGAAATGCCCTTACCTTTCATTTGTGGTGAGGGTAGGA